GTGGGGAATATGGCTACTGTGGTTGGATCACTTGTGAGTGGTGTTGGCCAGATGCTGAGCCACCCTTGATGTGATCATTGTGTGGCCATAGCTCTCCATTTTGTGGTTGGTCACTAGTATGCTTGCTTTACTTGCTTCTGTTAGCTTTTACTTTTATTCCAGGTTTGTGGGTCAAGGACCTGAAGGCTTCAGAGGGGTTTTAATAAATTTAGGGGTCCTAGAGGAACCCTTTTAAGGGAGGTGTTACGTCCCTCTGCAGCCTCTGATCTGCTCAGTGTGGTCAGCTGGTGCTAATTGGCCACACCTAGTCAGGTGTGGATAAAAACATACCTGAGGCAAGCTTCCTGAAGAGCTCACTAGTCTTTGCCTTGGTGGTACCAGCTATTTTAGCCAACCTGCTATGCCATTTTAAGATAAAACCTCTTCTGACTAACACTCTGGTATTCATCTCCTTTTTTATGTTGCGACTTTTGAGCCGGGTCGTAACACAGCCTCCTAGAGTTTGAAGATATTTGTGAGGCTTTATATTAAGTCTATGGTTTTTATTCCTTACTTTGACAGGATACTGATTGTTGTTCTCTGGCTGAACATTACAAAAGTTGCAGTGAAAAAGTAGCTGTTGGAATTCAAAGTGCTGAACAGGCCAATCACAATCACAGTAAAAGGGATGTGATTGGCCTGTTAATGAGTTGAGTGAAGTTTGATGTATCTGACTGTTTTTGTTTCGCTTAATACGTCTTATAATCCAGTTCTCCTTATGGTAAAAAAAAATACGGTAATTACATGCTATTTTTATAGAGAGTTGTACTGTTTAAATGTGAGAATGTTTGTGGGTTTTGTTTACATTGCACTTGTATTGACCTATTCACTTTTTCTTGTGCTTCTGCTCATAACATTGTGTGTGTCTGTCATGTAAATTACGCCATGTAAATAATTGTTGTACAGTAAATATTTTTAAAGGCGCTGTTCAGCCAGTCGGCTTCTATGACTTTTCAGAATGAAAGTGTTTTCTGCTTGGAAATATGTCAGTTTGTTTTTCAAGTGTATAAGGCTGCGTCCACACGTACACGGGTATTTTTGAAAACGGAGATTTTCCGTTTTCGTTTTAAAAAATAATCCCGTCCACACATAAACGCAGAAATGAAGGAAAATGCTGCTAAGAACATGTCAAAGCAGCAGGTGGCGCTAGATTCCTAACCATGTAGAAATGTTGGCCAACAGAAGTTTAGAAGCCTCGGTGGGAAATAGTAAACAAAGCTGGGGCATAGAAGCAGAACAGAGTCGTATGTGTGGAGGGACAGTAACTGTGTGTGTATATGTAAGCATTTAAACACTGCAGAGAGAAGAATTAACAGTATTGTAGAAATTCATTTCACCGAAACAATAACGTGGCGCACAGTGTGACGTTAAAAAAGGCGCACATCTTTGACGCTGCGTTTTCTCCGTTTTCCTCGGCCACACGTAAACGCAAAAACTGAGTTTTCGAAAATATCCACCCTGACAGGCGTTTTTAGAAATCTTCGTTTTCAGTGACCGAAAACGCCGTTTACGTGTGGACGAAAGGTGAAAACGCATAGAAAAATCTGCGTTTTCAAAAATACCCGGGTACGTGTGGACGTAGCCTGAACCTTGATTTCATTCTCAAATTTTATTCTATTTTTTATCTTTTTGATCAGTGTTTGAAAACTATCATAACAGCATCATAGTAACATGTAAAAGAATTCATAATGACAGTTTTTGTCATTTTACTGAAAAATGAATTGGTGCCTAAACAGTCGCTCATATATCATTGACATGCAGCCATTACGTTTATCGTGGCTCAAGAGTTGGGAGTTCGCCTTGTAATTGGAAGGTTGCTGGTTCGAGCCCCGGCTTGGACAGTCTTGGCCGTTGTGTCCTTGGGCAAGACACTTCACCCGTTGCCTACTGGTGGTGGTCAGAGGGCCCGGTGGCGCCAGTGTCCGGCAGCCAGGGTGGCTGTGGCTACAATGTAGCTGCCATCACCAGTGTGTGAATGTGTGTGTGAATGGGTGGATGACTGGATATGTAAAGTGCTTTGGGGTCCTTAGGGACTAGTGAAGCGCTATATAAATACAGGCCATTTACCATTTATTTTTTAAAATGTTTTTTCTAAACCACATTTCTTGTATATTTTCGTAAATAGAATGTGGATCTTTTGCACCTTTTTCAATAAAGATACTTTTCTAAATAATTGCTCTGTGTTGTACGTTTGTTTTGTGCAGAAGTAATGTTTATTAGTGAAACCATATTATCTTCAAACTGTCCATCATTACATCTGTTTGCTCTTCACCTTCAGCTTCTTGTGGATGCACCTGTAGATGGAGCACTGAGCTGTGATGCTGCGTGAAGCAGCAAAAGTAAAAGAAAACAAACAGCGCGTTGTACAGCAAAGTGAGGAAATCCTTAGAGGAACATTTTAACTGTTGTTAATCTGCCATCATCACAGAGAGAAACAGAAAAAGTGATGGATGTTAAATTTAATCTCCCGTCACACTGAACGACCTTTATTACAAACTGCTGGGTAACAACAAAAATAACGTCAACATCAAATGTGGAACATCGCAGAAACAAAAGGACAGACAGGAAAAGGATGACACGAATTTAATAGAAAGATTTAAAAAAGTAACAGTATTATTTTTTTCATTTTAAAAATGACAAAATCAGGCTGATGTGGAGCTGGTTAAGAACTAAAATGAACCATCTTTGGCACAATACTCCCAGCAGTTTGATCAGCTGTAAAGACATCTTCACTGAATTTGGAGTTCATACTCAAGGAAAAGAAAGACATCTTTAAGTGGTATAAGGCCTCCAGACAGGCCAATAATTTCTTTTATTTTGTTTGTGAGAGAAAATAAATGTTTTTTTCTGAAACTGATGTAACTTTGAGGCTAGTTTTGGTTTAGAGTAGCTGCCCATCTTTAATCAGTTCAGTTTAATTAGTAGTTTGTTTGTTGTTTTACCACAAATTAGTGTGAGTCCGTTTCGTGACCGACAGTTGAGATAACAGTAAACACTGGAGGAACTTTCACTGCTGGGGCGGCTGTGGCTCAGGAGGTAGAGCAGGTCATCTACTGATCAGAAGGTTGGTGGTTCCTCCGATGCATCAGCTGGCATCCATCAGAGTGTAAATGGTAGTTAGTAGGCACTTAGCAGCATAGAACACAGTGCTTGTGTTGCGTTTGAGAGTAGAAAGGTCCCATAGAAGAATCAGTCCATTTGCCATGTAGTTTTTTGTCTGAATCACTACAATCCATGACCTTACCATACACAGTTAAAGTGCGCCATCCTGTGGTACTTACTCCACAATAGATGAATCATTCACTTTCAACTCACTGCACAGACAGTTATTTATTTTTTTAAAGTATTATAGCGTCAAACCTGGAGGCAGGCAAAATTACAGTTTTTACAGTTTTACTGAACAGTTCTGAATTTTAAAAAAATCTCGTTGAACCTCATACAAAGTGTGCACTTGCTGGTCACTTTATTAGGTACACCTCCTCAACTACTTGTTAATGCAAATTTCAGCCAATTACATTTCATGGAGCTCAGTGCAGTTAAGCATGTGCATGGTCAAGACAACCTGCTGAATTTCACAGCTAGCATCGGAATAAGGAAGAAAAAATATTTATACAACTTTCTCTGCTAGGAAGGCAACAAGAAGTAAAATAACCTATTGTTACAACCAAAGTGTGCAGAAGAGCATCTAAGAACTTGAAGAAGCTGGGCCACAGCAGCAGAAGACCAGACTAAGTGCCACTCTGTCAGCTAAGAACAGGAAACTGAGACTGCACACACACACTCACCAAAACTGGACAATAGAAAGCTGCAAAAATGTTGCCTGGACTGATGAGTCTCAGTTTCTGCTGTCACATTTGAATACTTATCAATCTCTGACCAATCACAGACACGGACAGGTCTACTGATAGCAGAGCGACTGATTTTACACAGCAAGTAAAACTATGACTTTAGAAAAATATGAAGAGATAAAAAAATAAATAAATAAATAAATTTCCTAAATATGGGATAAATGAAGGTTTTCCTGTTATTTATATTACAAGTTAAAAGCAGCAGAGTGTGAGCTCTGAGTGCTTTGGTCAGTAAAACTGGAAAAGAGCTGCTGTGTTGGTGATACAGTTTAGCCTGAAGACAGAATTTCAGCTAACAGGAGAAAAGCAGGTCTGAAAATATTCTTTTTTTTAAAATTGATGCTCTTCAGGAAAGTCTTTGGACCCTCCTTCTAGGATTTCACAGTAAGCTGTTGTGATCTCTATAATCTCTGGATCTCGTCCAGCCTGCCCCAGGTTAGGTCTTCAGTGTATGTTGGTGATGTGCACCAGTGAAAAGGGAACCTCCTTCATAACACTGAAAGCCACAGATCGTTCCTCCTAATACAGGTTTATGGTGTCGTTCACGCTGTAGCTTCCAGGTCAGGAAGACTGAAACAGCTCAGAGTCAACAGGAGAGAAACGAGTTCAGACCTCGAAGGCTTTAATCTGTAATCTGTGGTTCTTACAGCGAGAGCTGGAGACGTGTGTTCACATGTTTCATGACACTCTGAGGAAGGACCGGCGCTGAAACATGTCTGTTTTCTTCTTACTGACGTTTAATATTAAACACTTTATGCCTGTAAGTGTGAGCGCTGAAGTTCTCATTCATCAGTCTGCATTTATGTCGTTATGCACTCATTAATAACCTGGATTGTTGAACATGTTGATGTTTTTTATGCAAAGCTTAACAGAACTAACACACACACACACACACGCTCCTCCCACTCGTGACTGAGGCTTGTTTCCTAAACTCACTCGACCAGAGTATCCGCTGCTGAGCGTCAGTAGCGTGATCGACGCAGCACAGAGGAACGTTTTTACTCCGCGTCATGTTTTCTTCTGTTTTTAAGACAAAAACTCTGCAACTTTTATTTTTGTGTCTCTTTCCTCTGACTGTGACTGCAGTAACAACAGGACATGAAAACGGTAAGAACACTAATGCTGAGACAGTAAAGCTCTTCTACTGATTTAACACAGCAGCGAGATGTATCCAAAAATGGTGAATTATCCCTTTAATGTTGGTGTTGATTTGTTTTCCCCACTCATCTTTAGATGGTTCAGAACTGTCAGTGATGAGGTAGACAACAACTAGATTTAAAGATACAAGTGTTGAGTGTTTCCTCACTGCGGTCCGAGCTGTCCCGTCACAGTGGAGAGAAACACTGAAATATCTGCTGAACAGCAATGAAGGAGACGTAATTACTGCTTCAACCACATTCAGTTCTCAAATCACCACGATGTTGGTGTGAAAACTTAACAAAGACATTTCTTTCTACTAGATATCACTAAGAATTGGTCTTCTGCTATTAAACACAGAAGAAATCATTGGAAAGATTGCAGTTAATGATGATGTCGCAGGTCCTGCTCAGCACACTTCAGTTTAACAGCCTTCTACTCTGCAGAGGGAGGAGAGTGACAGCTTATCTTCCAGTGCTGCTGTTTGTTATCGTGATGACAGCAGAAGGAGTTCAGGCACGTCGGCTCGTCACAGCAAGCTCAAACACAGCAGCTGGTCTCTGAGTGGACTCTTCATCCTTTTCAGTCTGTGACATTCTCATTACCATCACTCAACACTGTGCCAAACCACCTCAGTGTGAGCTGAAGGCTAATGCCACTGGGAGGTCACTAAACCAGAAACCACCTTAAAATTCACCTGAATGCTGAAACATCACCCTCCTTGTGCTGTAGCTTCATGCTGTGTTCACAGGTGCAGCTCCGAAGCCGTTTGTTGGGATCCTGAACATCACGGAGTACAGGGTGCAGCTGAGGTGTGAGGTCAGAGGTGCGTCTCCGAAGCCTAGAGTGGAGTGGAGGGACAGCCATGGAAACATCCTTCCTGCTGAGCAGCCACAGGTGTCACACAGAGACGGCCGCTATGACATCACCCTCCTCACCACGGTGACCAGGACAAACACCAACATCTTCCACTGCGTGGCCACACAGGAGGAGATCGGCCATGTGACTGAAGAAGAGATCCACGTTCCAGGTGAGGCCACAGACTCTGATTTGTAGGGGTGCAACGATATTCGTATCGATATTGAACCGTTCGATACAGTGCTTTCGGTTCGGTACGCATATGTATGAACAATACAACATTTTTAATTTATTTTATCAACTTTCCTTCTGATGATGCTGTCTGTGTTGAGCGCTCAGTGAATCTGCGTTCGACTACTCCGCCTAGGCTCGACAGTGCAGCCTAGGCGGAGTAGTCGAACGCAGATTCACTGAGCGCTCAACACAGACAGCATCATCAGAAGGAAGAGCGCAGGGCAAGCTAGCGAGACAGAAGTGGACCTTCCCACCCTCATTCAGATCTGGCGTTTGGAATTATTTTGGTTTTCATGTGACGTATGACCCTGAAGGTAAGCGAGTCATGCACTAAAGTAAAACAGTATGTTGGATGTGCCACGCAATGCTCAATTACATGGGTGGAAACTAGTGTGTTAGCGCAGTTAGCTCGTTAACGTGTTGGCCGTCTAGCCCCATGCACGGGGCAATCGGCGGTAGCTCGTTAACGGAGATTTGCCGTGTTGTGGCGTTAACGTCATTTCAACGAGATTAACCTGAAAGCACTAGTGGGAACACAACGAATATGACTGCACATTTACGCTGACATCATCCTAGTGCAAAGACAAAAACAACAAGCATGCTACTAACTTTAGCCGAGTCATTTAGACAGCTGTTAGCACATGATTCTCCTTATGCTGCTGAGAATATAGCCCAGAAGAAGCGGATAGTATAGCTTTTATTTTGGAAAGAGACATTTCTCTGTAATAAACTCTCTTTTTCCAAAGATGAGTGATTCCTCAATCAGATACAGGGCTCGCAATATCGCTAGCCCGACGTCCCGGGGCTATCTCTGCCCTGCCTGTCGGGCTATTGTAGGAAGGAAAAATATATGTCAATGCTTTTGCATTCTTTCAGAAATGTAGCTGGGTAATTATGTCATTGGCATCGGTGAGCCACTGTCAATATGTGACATATTGAAATCGCGTTTGAATTTGCGCTTGTTTTTTTGCTTTCACTTTGCAATGACAGCACTGATCTGTGAGTGATGATAATTTGTGCACCAATTCCTCTGACATCGTCTTATTAATCGTTAGCTTACTATGCAAACATGACAAGTGAAATCTCCCGCAGCTTAAACATGTGAGAGGTTGATCGTGCAGAGAATCGCTGAGCTTATGTGAGTGCGTGTGTAAAAGCAGCAGGATATATATTTTAGTTCTGCTGAGCCAAATAAGACAGGTCAGGGTGAAGAAGTGACAGCCAAAGAAAAGCTTACCACAAAACGGAGAAGTTATGACAAATCAGACTATAAGGCAAAAAGAAAGTGCAGCTTTATGGTTTCATGGACAAAAGAATTTCTGTGGCTGCGATATGACGAGCTAAATAACCAGGACTGCACATAAGTGGTCCGCAGGTGCGCATTCGCTGTCAAAATAAAAAACACGCACAAGGGTTAGGGTTAAATTTAAAAACTGTACTTTTGAGTTAAAATATATATTTATAATTTTAATAAATGACAAATTAAAAAGGCATGAACATTTTTTTGTATTGAAAAAATATCGAACCGTGATACCAAAGTATCGAACCGAACCGTGAATTTTGTGTATCGTTGCACCCCTACTGATTTGATTGCTAAAGGTTGTAATTAGTGTGTTTACAAACTATCTTTGTAACAGCAGGCTTCTGTAATGTGTTTCAGATCAGCTGTTCGAGTCCTGCGATGGAGTCGGTGTGATCGTTTCTGTATTTGCTTCTGGATTCTCTGTCGCTGTGTTTGCGTCTCTGTTGCTGTTCTCAGCTTGTATTAAATGTTGTTGATAACAGACAGCAGATACTTTCATCTGTATTTTTTATTCTCTGCTCTTCTGTTTCCTCTGGTTTTAAGGCTGATATGTTATTTATACCAACATTGTATTAATGAAAAATAAAGTTGGGTAAATGATGACTCAGTGGATAATGTGGATATGGATGTGGATAAGGTTTTAAAACATGCTAAACTGCTTTAAAAGTGTTTAAACATCACGGTTCACATTGAAACACATTCATGTTTTTATCCCCACTGGATACAAATTGAGGCTCTGCCCTTTATCTGCTCATTATTATGATGAATCCTGATATCAGAGCTGTATTTATAATGGCCAGATGCAGGGTGGTGGACTGATCCCCGGTGGCTAAAACTGGTTTTTGGTATACGAATATCACCTCTCTGATTGGGAGGGAGCCTGGGCTCGCCTCAAGGCTTGGGTTCAGGAACTCTCTGGAGTGAAAGGGTGGGGGAGGGCGTGCTTGTATCACCCTGGTTAGGTGCATTTGAGCTGGGGTTTTCCTACAGGTTATACTGGAGGTCCTGAGTGTCACATATAATTGTACACATGAAAATCAGCTCCGAGTACTTGACCTGCTTGGAGTTCCTGGTGGATGCTTGAAGGTGGTGCAGCTGGAGAGTCTTATTTTTACTACTTCTTGTGGGTACTGGCAGTGAGAGCTGGGTGTTTTATTGCTGAGCTAACCGCAGCTTTTCCATAAAGAACGCCGTGTTTGAGCATAAGGCGGCCGACACAGTCAGTCACGGTTGATGATCAGATTTTGTAATCAGAACAGTTTCTTCTTACTAAACGCAGAATCCAGCACATGTGATACATGAAACTTTTAATAACTTGTTGCTTGTCAGTAATGGAAGCTGTGATGATGAAGAGGGATGCTGCCAGGTCCAGTTTCATTGAACAGCCAAGTTCAATAAAAGTACTAAAACACTGCCTTCATGTTACATTCGGTTGTAATCCCTGTGTAGATGCTGACAGTTACCTGCATCACTGCTCAGGCCTTTAAAGTCAGCTGTGATATTTAAATGAGTCAAATGTTTAATATAGTCGTAAATGAGAGTGTCGGCCTGATCCTCTGAGCTCATTAACAGCTGTTTACTCAGAGAGACGTGGTTCCTCACAGGACAGCCACCACAAACATGATTATAAAAAATATTATGCATCACTGAAGATTAAATATTACATATTATTGTCTGCTAATAGTGAGGATCTAGATGATAAATATAGGAAAGAATTCTGAGAAATAAGCTTCCTACAAAAGGTATCAGGGTGAGGGGTTCAGTCATTCTGGAGTAATCAGTCCTACAGATTGAAAGAAGTCAGTTGAGGTGACATCTGACGAACCCACTCCCCCACTCCCCCTCAAAACACCCACCCACACACACACACCCCTGCATGTTTTGTGGGTGAGGCTGGAGCCTCCGGGGCAGACGCAGTGTTGATTATGTCTCTTAGCTGGCGTGAGAAAGTCTCTGTGTCCTTCCAGAAGAGTCTGTGGGATATTTTGTGATGACATCCAGCAGAGATGGAGGCTGTTTATAATGGAGCGTGATGATATACAATAAATAAAAACACAGTATTTACCCACAGGAGCTGCGTGAATCCTGAGCGTGTTTTCAACATGCTAACTATGCTAAATCTTTGATCACTGTTGTGCATGTTTCTCATCTTTAATAATCAAACCTAGAAGTGAAAGGCCAGCCTCTGAAATATGAGAACTGTGTTTAAAACTGTCTGTAATTCTAAAACGGTTCAGACTTAAGCTGCTTAAGTAATGAGGCGGCTCAGCTGCTGCGTCAGCCTCTTATAACCGTCCACATTACAAAAACTTGCAGGGACGACTCTTTGGGCCACGAGTCGCTGCTCGTTTGAACACTTTTGTCAGACAAACAGCAGCAAAGTGAGAAACAGCAGCAGGCCACACAGCTCCACAGCTGTGGATGACTCCGGACACAAAGCACCTGTGGATCTTTTCTCGCCTGCTGAGGTCCTAATTAAACACAGCGTTCAGTGTTACATGTTTTCTGTGGGGTGAGCGGTGTGTAATGCAACAAAAAGAAAATGAGCTTTCTGAACACTAAAACACGACCACACGACCCTGCTGTGAGAGTCTAATCCTGCTGACTCCACTTCAGGCTGCAGCTGGTCTGACTCAGTGTTCCTGGTTTAAGTGATCGTTCAGGTCTCAACATCTGCAGAGCAGGTAAAGGCTGATGTTAGAGTCCAGCAGCAGGATGAGATCCTTCCTTGGAAGCAGCTGAGTGTTGAGTGGAGATTTATGTAAACCAGCTGAGGGTAAAACAGTGTTCAGTTTGAGGGTGACTTTGGGGTCCTTAGGGACTAGTAGAGCGCACATGCACATGCTTACAGCCACCACTGCCACTGTGCACTCCTGGTAAATGTGATGCTGTTCTATGAAAGCGTACGTACGCTTTGACTTCTCGTCCGACCGGCTCAACAGACGAAAGCATAAAAAGAGTCATTGTTTATGTTTCTGCTTCCAGCTGCCTGCCAGCTGTGGTTTTCATAACAGGAAATATCAAAGTTATAAAAGGTTTAATGCACTGAGTGCTGTCACACTTTTAATGTGACACGCAGAAACTTGACATGTTAACCACGTACTGGATTTGACAATCTGACACTTACTGTTAACTCTTTCATTTTCAGATGAATTTACAGGGACAACAACCCGTGAACCTTTTTGCTGCCTCGATGGCTGTTATGGTTGAAGAGATGATCCTCTCACTAACTGCGAGGTTCGATTTTCCAGCAGTGGAAGTCAATACTGACACTAACTGAAAATCCTCATAAGATGCAAGAGAACAGGACGGGAATCTTTAAGGGTCTCATCGTCGCTTGACTAAAGATTTTCACACATTTTATAAAAAGCCAGAGATTTTTAACACGACATAACGACTACAACCCTGACTGCACAATGATGACCCTGAAATAATGAAGATGATGGTAATAATAATGAAATGGCTAACCCAGAGTCTGGACCTGAAATCAATCGTGAGTCTCGGGGAGATCATCGAGGACAAACCCCGGATACGAACAGGTCTGTAACATCAGGCGCTGGTGTACTGAAGACCTAAAATGCTGCCTGTGTGAGCGAACAGAGGTCACTAAATCTGACCGTGACCTCGAGCACTGTTTGGACCCCTCAGGTGATCAGTGTTTGATTAAACACACGGATCATAAGAGGAGTGATGCTTGTGAGCTGTGGACAGACAGATGATGAGCTTCTCCATGACATAAGCTCGGTGATCGCTCAGTCAGGTGAGCAGTTGTTCACAGATTTACAGATTTAATTATTCAGATCTACAGTTGGTGTGTAATCAGTCAGATTAAGTCCTCACGTGTAGCACTAACAGCAGGTGTGTTTCAGTCCTGCCACGGACGCGTGAATCAGTGCCGTCATCTGTGGAAGGTGTGCTGGTCGAGCAGGAAAGGAAGAAGATGTTCGTGGAAGTTCATCCAGTCAGTGCCAAGAACTCTGCTCATCTGAAACACGTGTAACAGTGCAACACAACGTTTGGATCTGATCATGCCCAGAACTAACAGGTCAGCAGTTACACAAACTGCACCTGTAATGCTTCAACATTTACTGTGCTCACAGCATATCCATTCACTGTGGACCCCTCGCTGATTAGAGTGGGCTGTAACAGTGACCCCGGCCTTTTTTCTGGGTTTTCCTAATCAGCGAACACTGACGTCCATCCTTTATCCTGAGCTTATCTGGGTTATAACAGCTCTGACTGTCTGCGTAAGCTCAGGTCAGGTCACGAGTTTGAAATGAAGGGCACGGGACTCCTTTGGGTTCATCAAGCTGTTTCATTTTATCCCGAGTCCCAGGTTTTTAACCCCTAGAGGAGATCTCCCCATGGAGGGGTTCTTGAGCGTATGAGACCCATGCTGGAGGCTAATGAATCTAACTGTGGGTAAAATAAAAATCAAGGTGGAATAAAGCTGTGAGTCATTAAAGAGCTTCATGAGGAGCAAGAGAAAAGAAGTTGAGCTTCACAAACACAGTGTTTGCTTCACGTTTACTTTGTTGGTATCTGGTCCCCTGTTATGTTGTAAGTTATAAATATGATGACGCACACTCTTTACAGCAGCCAGGACTGGTTGGCAGCTCCATCACTGCTGTCTCTCCTGCTTCAACCACCAAACATCAGCAGATGTAGTTTGGACAGACAGTCGTTCAGGCTGTAGGCTGTTGTGTAGATAAACTGATCCTGCCTCTCTGTGTGTGTCTGTGTTTGCGCTCATTGTGATTTCTCTGCTTATGGCCGTGAGCCCACAGCTCCTGAAGCAGGACCGCGCACGCTTAAAGCCGCCACTCCCACTACGAACTTCTGGGAAATGTGGCGCAGCTGCTTTGTTTTATCAGTGAATGCAGGTCTTTGAAAGTTGAACCTGTTCATCAGAAAAAGGATACAATCGTGTTCCTGAGAGCTGCGATTTCACAGAAAAATTTAAAGTGATGAACGTTTTAATGTGCATGTGAATACTTGCTGAGTGAGTCTGCTGTTTCTACTTCCAGAGTTAGGTGTCTCTCTCACACACACACACACACACACACACACACACACACACACACACACACACACACACACACACACACACACACGCATGCGCGCGCGCGCACACACACTGACAGTGAAGACTTGTTGGTTCCTGCTGCAGTCTGTGTCCGACCATCTCGGTGTGCGAGCCTTCCCAGGTCTCAGGTTTTGTTCTCCGGTTTGCAGGAACTGCTCCGACTTTATTTGGTGCTTTAACTGCAGAGATTTCACCTCCTAACCAGCTGCTGCCGTTCGGATCACGGGGACGAACAGACTTTATTCAGCATCATGTTTTTAGCGGAGCTTTTATCTTTGTGCGTCTTTCCTCTGATGATGTTTGCAGTAACAGCAGGACATGAAAACGGTAGGAAATCATCAATAACTCTGATCATTTCTCACAGAGTCTCCCTGATTCTGTGCTCTGACCTCCTTTATAATTTATACCAGCTGTACATGTCTCCAATACCTTGAATCCAGACTATTGTTTCCCATACATGTAATTAAAATGTGATGGCGTGCTGTGAACTGCCTGCTCTCACAGCAGTTTGTGG